TTTATTGATAATGTTAAGACTAGCATGGGAGAGAAATTTGATAACTTGCTTTTCTCCTCAGACCTTTATAACTTGTAGGTACACACCTTAATAACTTGCATTTGTATATCTGAACTTTTATATCTTAAAACACCTTTTATTTAGAACATGGTAAGAAGTTACACTGAAAGTGTCATTACCTCTCAGCTGTCAACTGCATTAGAGATCTTTGAGAAGGATAAAACTTTACTTGAGTTATTGATTAAAAATGACAGAGAACTTACTCGATGGCTACCTAGAGCCACTCCTCAGGCTCCTCCATGGACAGGGTACCCAGGTGACAGGGAAGGTCAGCAAAATGATAACGCCATGGACCAGGCAGTTGGGGAACAGAGAAAGAAGTCTCCACTCTCTTTTTCTTTCCTCCAAGACCTGCTTGTTTGTGTCTGCTCTCCTTCTCTAAACTTTGTCAATGTCCTGTCTATGTTTGTTGCAATGTGGGAGTCAGAGATGGAGAGGGCAGCTTCAGCTTGCTCAGCACACACCAGCTCTCCCCTGCAATATCTACTGACCTAACTCTCAATAAGGTATGTATGGATCATTTGTCTGTGGGTGAATCTGATTCCAAATGTTAGAGTTCATTCTTAAGCTGTATTCGCCATGTGGCTCTGGCTCGTGGGACTTGCTGGCTCTGCTCGTGGGGCTTGCTGACTCACGTGGACACCTCCCTTTTCTTCTGCTCCTTCCCGGCTTTCTCTCACCTTGCAGCCAGCCTACAAAGCTACTGTGTTATTTCTGTTTCCACCTGCAGGCCTGCAGTTCGCTTTCACTCTCAAAATTTCCTTGAACTTATGGGACCATTCTTGCAGTGTTCCACTTCACGACCCTCTCTCTTCCTCCATGGACCCAGATTTTATTACAATATTTGGCCTCAGTACAAATCAATGATTAAATTGGCAAGTTTTGTTTCCAAATTTTCCTAAATCATTAACAACTGCTACTGCCACAGGCAAAGGGTCCCCAAGTATCTTATATCTAAACTTGCTCTGCTTCACTTCCAAAGTCCCTTACCTCTAAGGCTCTACTACCCCACTCCTAAAAATCTTTTCTATCTGTGATTTCTTTTCACTCTACTCCCACAAAAAAAAATCTTACTGCATGGATTTCCCTGGGAAGGGAAAGTAGAAAAGATCTCCTGGGCAAACTGGGGGCGGGGGTTGGTGGGATGGAGGGATGGGAGCTAGAGGGAGCAGGTTGGTCAGGCTGGGTGCAGGAGGTGGGCTGGAGGCAGGATGGAGGGGGAGAGTAACCAAAGAGATGTCTTGATGGAGGCATTTGGGATATAGGAATAAACTTGCTGCCAGGGAAACCCCCAAGGATGATCCCAACTAAGACTCCTAGCAATGGTGGAGAGGGTGCCTGAACCAGCCATCTACTGTAAGCAGATTGGTGACTTCCCTAATTGCCATCAGAGATACTCTATCCAGCAACTGATGGAAGCAGAGGCAGAGATCCACAGATAAGCACTGAGCTGAGCTAGGAGAGTCTTGCAGAAGAAAAGGAGGAGGGATTGTACCAGTCAGGGGTTCATGACGGGGGAAACCCACAGAGACAGCTGACCTGAGCTCACCGGAGCTCAAGGACGCTGGACTAACAATCAGGGAGCCTGCATGGGACCGACCTAGGCTCTGTGCAAGTGTGTGACAATTGTGTAGCTTGCTCTCTTCATAAGGCTTCTAATGGTGAGAGCAGGACCTCCCTGGTGCTTAGCTGGCTATTGGTAACCTGTTCCCCACGCTGGATTACCTGACTCCACCTCATAAGAGGAGGAGTTCGGTCCTGCCTCACTTCATGCACCATGCTTTGTGCAGGCCCATGGGAGGCCTGCCCCTTTCTGAATGGAGATGGAGAAGGAGTGGGTGGGGAGGGGGGTAGGGAAAGGGGAAGGGATGAGAGAAGACGGAGGAGGAAACTGGTTGGTATGTAAAATAAATGAAAAAAAAATAATGTTCCTACTCCACAGGAAAGTCTGTCAGACTTCTGGGCCTGGCGGCCACAGACTGATATTTTCCTGAGTCCTGTGGCCCCAATGATCACAAAGGAACATAGGGAAGCTGTCTAGGTAGCCAGGGAGTCTCTGCCATTTTAGTAGATTCTGAAGCTGCTCGGTCAGCACTTCTGCTTACTCAGGTGAAATTTATCCTCCTCAGATCTCTGATGGTGTCTGCTGAACCAGGCCAGTGATAGCTCTGCCAGTTCAACAGCTGCAGCCTTGGCAGTCTATACATCTCTCTGTGTATAATATTCGGGCCACAGTCTCTCTCTCCTGGAGCTTCTACTAGGTCTAGACACAGTTCGCCTTGCTGCCATACTCAGAAAGGAGCTAAACTCACAGAATAGATTTCTTTTTAAATTATTTTATAAATAATACCAATCAAAATTTCCACTTCCTCCCCTCTTCCCAGTTTCCTCAAAATCTGCATCCCGGACAGCTTCAGTAGCGGCCCCAAGTGGTCCAGCCTCACAGACTGCTTCAACTAGGTCTGCATTTTCCTAGATCCCAGCACCGGAGATGGTCCCACAGAGCCTGGACAGCGAGGTAAACAGTCAACTAATCCAGGACTTGGTCAGCATCCCAGCTTTCTCAGGTCCCTCCAAGGTACTGGATCCCCCAGGCAGCAGGAAGCAGTCTAGAGAACACTGCACCTCCATTCCCACCTTACTTGCTACTCCTTCCTATTTTCTCACCTTTCTATAATAAACAAAAGAGAAGAATGTTAGTTTCTGCCACCACAGCAGCAGCCTGCCACCCTGGCCAATGCAGTTACGTCATCACCTGTTGCCAGGTGCCTTTCCACCATCAGCTATTCGACATGTGCACCCTTGTAGACCAGGCTGGCCTTGATCTCACAGATATGCCTCTGCCTTCTGAATGCTGGGATTAAAGGTGTGCGCCACCACTGCCTGGCCATATGCTTTTTTGTTTTGTTTTTGATGCCCATTATCTTCTTTGAAGTAGATTGGTGCTGCCAGGAGTAGATGTGTCTCACTGACATGAAAAGCCTTAGGTTATTAAACATATTAAATTCCATATTCTATAGGTCTTTGAAGTGTCTAAAGATCACATACCTATCTAAATATATTTGTGTGCGACCTTGAAAACATACCTAACATGACTACAAGCTTGACTATTACAGATGACTATTAATCTGTATTTCTTAATGCATTTTAAATGAGCTGCATAAACACAGCACCTTAAACAAAAGTAGAAATATACATATGATATAAAAATTTAAATTTGTATCAATAAACCAAAATCCATACCAATGTAAACTATTTAAGATTAATAGTTATCTTTTGGATTAAATTAGATTCAATAATCTACCCTTTTGTCATATCATTTCTATATCACTCCTTTTCTTTTTAAAATGAGCTCTTCTGTTCACCTTTTTTCCTGACCATTATCAAATAACAGTTTGTAACTAATCCCCCTTAAATGATAATAAACATCCATAACACATCATTTGGAAATGTGGATATAGTTCTCTAGACTACTTCCTGTGGACTGGGGGCACTGGTAATCTTTGGGGGACCCTGAGAAAATTTAGCATTATGGTCAAGTTCTGCCTGAATTATTCTGTGAGGCTGGATCATCTCAGCCAGCAGTCGTGAGGTTGTTCTGGATGCAGAATTCTGAGGAGATTGTGACAGAGGCATTTTGAAAGGCTGAATCTCCTGGGCCATTCATTTTCCTTGGTGTCTGGTCTCCTTGCTCTGAAAACACATAAACTTTAAAAGGTAACATATAAGTATAGACTATGTGGTGTGTACAAGTCAGTTAAAGATTTTTTTTTGGTTTTATGTTTGAGCAGGTAAAATATACATTACATGTCTTATAGTTCTTTTAGGTTTATTTCTTTATGTTTGCAGCCAAAATTTTCAGGGGAGATTTTCCTTGATCAAACTTGATGTTCTTTAACATGGAATGAATTCTTAGTCCCTCATTTCCTGTGGAAATATAAGCATAACGTCTCCCCCAAAGAAATAAACCTCTTGACTTAAATTTTGAAGTGAAGACATTTTCAAAATATATATGTTGGTTGGTTTAATCTAGCAGTCCTCACAATTCAGTGTGGCCTAGCAGCCAAAAATTTAAAGACAGCACAATAACAAATAGGATCCAGAGTCTCTGTGTATTTCCATCTTCATGTGGCTTTTTCTTTTATATTACTTTACTCCCTTTTAAGGACTTTATTTTAGAACTATATATTTCTTTTTTTATGACTGCTTATATCTCTTCTCCCAAGCCTATGTATATTTTAAACACACTGTAACCCGTTTGGATGGTTTTATTTTTCATCTGTACCTTCCCTTTACTGAGCATCTGTAACTTTTTTTGTCTGCATGAGTAAAACTTAAACTGTTGTGTAACTTAGATCATGGTGTACTCGTAGCTGACTCCTCCCCCTCGGTTCCCTGAGAGGCTGGAGGTACATTTACTGCCATCTCTGGGAGCTATGTTTACTGCCCCAACTCTGGGAAGTTTCTGGGTCCACGCCACCCCCAAGTAGTGTGCCACTCACTGCTCATAAACTTCATTTAAGTGTTTCGTAGCAGGGCCTCTGAAAAGAGCCACTTGATTTTTGCCACTAGCACTGAGCCAGGAAGCCACCAGCAAACAGAGCCCACTAGGGAAAATTCAGCCACCAAGACGCTGTGCTTGACTTCATTCTTTTGTGTGTTTAGAATCCGTTTTTAAAGCTTTCTCAGGTTTTACGTGGAAATTATTGTCGGACTATTTGGGTGCCAGTGCTGTGACCCTTAAGGATTTAAACCAGGGACTGGGGAGATGGCTGGTCTTCCAGGGGACCTGGGTTCAATTCCCAGCACCTACATGATAACTCACAACTGTCTGTAACCCCAATTCCAGAGCATCTGACACCTTCACACCAATGTACATAAAATGAATTTAAATAAATTATTAAAAAGGACTTAAATTAATGAAAAGTAGAATGGAGCTCTTACAGAAAAATAAACGATTCTTCATGATACTTTTTTTTATCACATGCATGTGTGTGGGGTTCCTCTGTAGATCCCCCCCCCCCCGGCCTCCAGGTCTCAGAGACAATCAGATGCAGTGCAGCGGGGAGTCGAGTCAAGCAGGAACTTGTTCATTTCCTTACAGCATGCAACTTATAAAGCAAAAACTCACAAATCCTGGAAATTGAAGGGGAATTAGCCAATCACATCAACGGTCACATCTGCGTGAGCCAGGATCCTATAACCCCTAATGGGGAGCACGAGGGCATCAGGGACTTTAGGTCATCTTACCCCATCTCTAACTCCAATCATCTTTCTGTAAACAAGTCAGGTCTCCCTGCTTGCTCCCCTTCAGCACCGTCTTGGCTGGGAATATTTCTCGCAGGTTTTGTAAGGTCACTGTTTTTTGAATTTCGTGCCTTTTATTAGCTGTCACACTTTTGGTGTAACTATGCCTTTTTCTAACTGTCACTGTTTTTGACATTAACTTGGCCCCTCCAGCCTGCTATATGCTCGATTTGGCCCACACATTTGTATAATGTGAGTTTGCAAATGTGTGACCAAAACATTTTGGGTGTGACTACATTTGTATGTAGGTCTATGTAGAGGCTAGATATTGATGTCCAGTGTATTTCTTAGTTGCTTTTTAATATACTGAGACAGGATCTCTCAACTAAAGTCAGAACTCAATGACTCAATGATTTGGCTAGTCTTGTTAGCTGTCTTGATATGGAAGTTATTTATTTATTGATTTTTTTCGAGATAGGGTTTCTCTGTAGCTTTGGAGCCTGTCCTAGAACTCGCTCTGTAGACCAGGCTGACCTCAAACTCACAGAGATCTGCCTGTCTCTGCTTCCTGAGTGCTGGATTGAAGGCTTGCGCCACCACTGCCTGGCGATATGGAAGTTTATGTTGGTTCTGAGCATCGGGATTACAGTCAGGTCGCCACACCCATGCTACATATGTGGGTTCAAAACTGAAGAGGCACTGAACTAATGAATAAGCCTAATGTTGGGGAATCATGGGGAAAAAGATTACAGAAAGCCCCCGATTCAAATTTGGTGAAAGGAGACAGTCCTTGGTCGAAAGTTTAAGTGGTGAAGACACCAGAGCAGTAAACTGAATTACGATGAAGAAGAATTCTTTTACATTTCAAGGTAAGGATAGGATTTAACCATTCACCATGGGTATTGTGATGGTAGTCTTAGTTGTCAATTTGGCCATGTCTAGAATCAAATACAACCCAAGCTGTTAGGTATTCTGGGGAGGGATCTAAATGAAGGGATGGGTTGCAATCATGGCTTCCCGGAGTGGAACATGAAGATTTCATCCACTCTCTTCTCTACCTTCCTTCCTTCTCCTTCTCCTATTTCCTCCCTCCAGTTTCCCCTCCCAGATTCTCCAATCTGATCCCCTTTCTAAACAGTTTCCTGATTTGTCTTGGGAGCTGAGGCAACTATGGGAGCCACGGCAGGAAGACAGCACAAGAGACTCAGGGCAGCGAGTTTCTCTCACGGATGCCGTCATTAGAGTCTTAATCCTCCAGGACCAGTTTCACTGTTCCAGTAGAGAATGGTGTTTCTGAGGGCTGAGATGCAGGTGCCAACTGGCTCCACGTAGCTGGGTTTCTGCTTCTTGTCCAGTTTGTCTCAGGGGCTCCTCTGGAGATCGTGCCTGGCTCCATTCATCCCCTAGAGGGCAGAGCTGAGTCCCTGACCTTGTGCTGTGCCTTGTCCAGAGCCTCTTTTCCTGCTGTTTGTGAGGTGACTGCAGAGAAGAACATGTCCAGCAGGGGTCGCGGTGCACACGGATGTTCGCTGGGAGCACAGCTTTGTCTGGGAAGGAGAGCTAGACTCCAGGTTCTCAAAACACTGTTTTCCCGTGCATTCTAAGTACTCTTGGTTTTGGGAAAGAATAAAAAAATATTTCTTTTTCTTTTTTTAAGTTTTTTTTTCATAATTAAGTCAAATTTGCTCAGAGGGAATAATTTTGGGGACTGTATCTTTGTCTTAGTCACTGTTCTATTATTGTGAAGAGACACCACAAGCAAGACAAGACTTATAAAAACATCATTTAACTGGGGACTTGTTTACAGTTTCCGACGATTAGTCCATTATCATCATGGTGAGAAGCAGACAGGCATGTCGGCAGGCAGTAGCTGAGACTGTTACATCCTGATCCACAGGCAGACAGGGGCAGGGGAGGGGGGAGGGGGGAGAGGGAAGGAGGAAGAAGAAGAGAAAGAGAGAGAATCAGAGACAGAGACACTGGGCCTGATGTGGGCATTTGAAACCTTAAAGCCCACCCCCACTGACACATTTCCTCCAACAAGGCCACATCTAATCTTTCTCAAATGGTACCAGTCCTTGGTGACCAACTGTTCAAATTTATGAGCCTATGGAGGCTACTGTCATTCAAACCACCACATGGATCAAAACAGAAATTAATAAAGAAACTAAAGTCTTTCTAGAATTGAATAAAATGAATATACAACACACCCAAGCTTGTATGAGGGCTGTTCTAAGAGGCAAGTTCTCAGTACTATGTGACTACATAAAAAATTTGTAGATATCTCATACTACAACTTAAAAGCACACCAAAAGCTCTAGAACAAAACAAGAAAACCACACCCCAAAGGAGTAAATGGCAAGAAATAAACTTAGGGCTGAAATCAATAAAATAGAAACAAATAGAACATAAAGGATCAATGAAGCAAAGAGTTGGTTCTTTGGGAAAATCCTAGATGGACAAACCCTTATACAAATTAACTAAAAGGTGGAGAGGGAATATCCAAATTAACACAATTAGAAATAAAAGGGAGACATAAAAGACTCTGAGAAAATTCACAGAAAAATAAGGACATACTTAAAAACCTGTACTCCACCAAATTGGAAAATCTAAAAGATTAAAGTTAAGATAAAAGATAAAAGTTAAGTCAAGATCAGATAAGAAAATTAAACAGATTGGCAACTCACAGTGAAATAGAAGCAGTCATTAAAATCCTGTGTGTGTGTGTGTGTGTGTGTGTGTAAAAGTCCAGGGCTAGGTGATTTTAGAGTAGACTTCTACCAACTTCCAAAGGAGACTTAATGTAGACACTCCTCAAATTATTCCACAAAGTACAAACTAAAGGAACATTGCCTAATCTGTTTTATGAGGCCACAGTAACTCTGATACCCAAACCACATAAAGACTCAATAAAGAGAATTACAGACCAATTTCCCTTATAAATATAGATGTAAAAATACTCAATAAAATACTGGCAAACAGAATCAAAGAACACATTAAAAAGATCATCCACCATGATCAAGTAGGCTTCATCTCGTAGAAGCAGAGATGGTTCAATGTATGAAAATCTGTCAATGTAATCCACCATATAAATAAACTGAAAGACAAAAACCACATTAAACACAGAAAAGGCCTCTGACAAAATTCAACACCCATTCATGATTGAAGACAAGGGACATAATAAAGGCAGTTTAAATTCAAAGAAATTCTACTAAAATTAGGAACAAGAGAAGGTGGTCCACTCTCTACTGATTCGATACAGTACTGGAAGCCTTAGCTAGAGCAATAAGACAACTGAAGGAGACCAAGGAGATATAAATTTCAAATGAAGAAGTCAAAGTTTATTTGCAGATGATATGATAGTATATATATAAATGATTCTAAAATTTCCACTGGGAAACTCTTACAGTTGATAAACACTTTCAGCAAAGTAGCTGGACACAAAATCAATTCATAAAAACTAATAGTCCTGTTGTTTCTATATTTAAAAGTGAATGAATGAATGAATGAATGCAAACCTAGCCTCTGGGGTAAAGGTTAACAACTGAACTGTCACTTACATCTGCTGGGAGAGGGAAAATCAGTTTCCCCAATGGAGTGACACTGGGTATATCAACACATGTCATGTTCATATAATGGATTCCACAGTTTTTTCTTTCTTTCTTTTTTTGGGGGGGGTATGAGTGCATTTCTCTCTCTGTGTGTGTTTGCTTTCATTTGATTATAGTTTGGTATATTTTTTCTTTTTCTGGGTGTTGTTTTATTTTGTTTCCTTGGTTTTGGGGGGTTTTATTGTAATGGGTTTTTGTTTTTTTAGGAAGAACTTAAAATTGGGTGGATAGAGCCGGGGAGTGAATTTGGAAGAACTTGAGGGAGGGGCCAATATGATCAAATATATCATATAATACATATTGCATATATCAAAGTATATTTAATATTTCTACCAGCACTCATGAAGTTCTTTTGACTTACTCTCTTCATCTCATCCCCTTTTCATCTCTCTTATGGCTTTAGTTCATTAGACTTTGATTTATCTTTCCCTTCTCTTCTTATTTGTTTTTTACTTTCCCTATTTTCTTTCTTTTCCTTTTTCCCGAGACAGGGTTTCTCTGTATAGGCCTAGTTGTTCTGGAACTCACTCTGTAGACCAGACTGGACTTGAATTCAGAGTTTTGCTTGTTTCTGCCTCCCAAGTTCTGGGATTAAGTGTGTGTGCCATCACTGCCCAACTACCTTTCTCTATTTCCTATTTGAGACAGTTTCTTGCTATATAGATGTCATAGTCATGCTTTTGTGCACTCCAGACAGATTGAGTTATCTGGAAAGAGGAAGTTCACATGAGAAAATGCCCCCATCAGAATCCCTGTAGACAACTCTCTCGGGCAATTTCCAGATTAATTATTGATGTGGATACCCAGCCCATTGGGGATGGTGACAGCCCTGGGAAGGTGGTCCTGGCCTGTATAATAAAGAAGACAGAGGAAACCATAGAGAACAGCTAGTTAGCAGTGTTCTTCCCCTCCAACCTCTGAGCACTCATTAACTACCCTCTCTCCCTTTTTGGCCTGAGGCTCCTCTCCCCTCTCCTCTTCTTCTCTCTGTTCCTCTCTGTTTTCTAGTCTCCTGTCTCTAAAGCGTTTTTTTTTTTTTTTTTTTTTTTTTTTTAAATTCTGGTACTTGGGTCTCTGAGGCGGGCAGTCAGAGACTGAAGATATCTAAAGATTCCTTGTGTTTGTAAACAAAACAAAATTCAACTTAAAAACCTATTTTTGATTCTTTGAGAAACATCTATATGTATAAAGTTTTGGCAAGTAAGACAAGTAGTCCCGACTCCTAGGGATTTCCTCTCTTCTTCCTTTGTCCATGGTGTTTTAGATCCAAATGTCCTGAGGGATGCCTTGTCCATTCCACAGACTGTAGGCTGTTCCAGTCAGTTCCTGCGTGTGGCCTTTTCATGGTGAAGACCCAGGCTTAGCCATCTTTACTAAGCCCTTGAAGGGGATTATGCATATCTGAACATGGGGTGGCGGGTCAGGGGGTGCTGCATAGTGGGATGTCCAGGTTAACTGGCAATGAGGATCCTTGAGCTTTTATTAAGATTTGTAAGAAACTCTTGAAGTCTCTGGTATTTTTGTAGCTTGTGTGGAGCCCTTTGCATTTGATGATTACAGAGCTTGGCAAGACTGAAATTCATGGGATGGCCTACAAACTAGAGGGTAGGCAGACGGTAATGCCAGTTAGGAGCTGCCCAGAGAACCAGGAAGACCTGACACTGTGCATGAGTTCTGCAGGGAGTCTGCACACGCACAGGGTCTTCTTCTCTGGCATTCCCGTGTCATTACACATTCAACTTTAATCAACTTACTTAAGCTCTGCAAACCCCAGTTTCCCTGGTGTAGGCATAGCTGGCTCTGTATCTTTACGTCTACATGAATTTTTCCAGATCCCTACTCTCTTTGGGTTCTGCACACAACATTTAGAGACCGGAAGTTAAACATGGCATTGTGTTCCCCAGTGACTAGTGCAAAGTCACCAGATCATGCTCAATGCTGAAGCCGGAAGGAGACTCGTTCCTTGTCCCCGGTCACAGAGGTGTTTCCTGTGACTTCTGCTGGTGTCCTTAAGCTAATCTACTCTTGTCAATTGCCGAGGACATCACTACAAAGAACAACAATGTGGCTTAACCACAGAAGCTATTCTCTCCTCAAAACTATTTTCTGTGATGGCTCAGAATCTCTGCAGTAATTCCTTGAAACTGCCTCCTGTGTTGGGTAATCCAACCACAAATTCTATACTCCAGGGAGGAAGATGACTTCAGTTGTCAGAGTCACTTCCTTATTTGCATAGAGATATAAAGCGAGAGTCTGCCTCAGCCTTGCTACTTTGCCACCTCTCTTCTGCACACACTTTTCATACCTCTGTCTTTTGTCTGGGGGGCAACATTCCCCCTCCCATTTCCTCACCTCACTCTCCACACTCGGAGGGCTCCAGTACCCCGAGCGTGGGACTGGATACTGGGCACATCTATTTCTCCCTCCCCAGCTTGTACTCTGGGCATCCTCAATGTTCCTTACATCGTAATGAAATCCCTAACTCCTCCTGTGGGAGACAAATACTGGAGCTCTGGTGAGAGGCCTCACATATACCAGGGTCTCCAGCTTACAGGGTAAGGAAGTTGAGAGTCCACCTTCTATGGCTGTGTGTAGTCCAATAATACAAAGTTATAATTATTCCCCAATGACTCCACTTGGGGATATTGTTTCAAGACCACTGGCAATTTCTTTGATCAGTGCTGGAAGGTGATCCTAGAGCTTCAAACGTGGAAGGAGGCAATTTAACACAGATGTACACCTCTTTTAACACAGGAGTCTCCCAGCACAAAATGGTACGCTCTGAAATACAGTCTTCTCTCCTCTTCCCTTCCCTTTTCCAGAGCCGACTGCTTCATCTCTATACCTTGCAAAATCTATTGGGGGAAGACTGTTTCATCCCAGTCCTCAAGTCTTTGGCTGTGAAATACCTGGTGGTCTGTTCATCATAGCTATGCCCCTACTTCTGGATGGGAACTTTCTGTATTAATGTACTACAGTTTTTGACCAAATATCAAAATAAGAAACTAAAGTGAGAAAGGATTCATTTTGACTCACTAATGAAGAGAGCACCATCTACTATGGGGGAGGCCTGGAAGCTAGGGCTCTCTCTGTGGTTGTAGGAATTTGTGACACACCTCAGTTATCCCACGTCAGTGGATCTGAATGCAGATTGCTTTATCGGGAAATGGATCTAGGCTATAGCCTTAAGCCTAACCCTATGGAACCATGTCTAACAGCTGGGTCCCATCTCCAAAAGGTTCCACAGCCTTTCAGAAAACACCAGTGGTTGAAACCCAAGGCTCCAACACATGAGTACCCACATTGTTGGTATTCTTTCACTCAGCTTCATAATTTGAGGATTCAACTGTGTTCTTTTTTTGGCATATTTCATTCATTCTTCAGTTAGGCCCATTTGCAATGCTATCCGTTCTGGCACCAATTAATGACAAGACTAATGGAGTGCTTGACACAGAGTCAGGCTGGTGGCACAGACTGCTTGTCCCTCAGTAGGAGCACGGCTAATAGAGCACTCCACAGATGGCTAAAACAATACATGCTGAGTAGCATGAAATGAGAGCAATGGTGATAGAATGGGGTAAGAGAAATACTAACCAATTTTGCACATTGTAAGAGCCAGGCTTTGGTGGCTGAAGAGATGTCTCAGCAGTGAAAAATACTTGTTGCTTGTCCCGATGACTTGAACTGGGTTCCTGGAGCACATACCTGAAAGCACACAACCACACACAACTCCATCTTTATGGGATCTGTCAGTCACTCCAGGCCCCACAGGCAGGTTCTCTCTTCCTCCCTCCCTCCCTCTCTCCCTCCCTCCCTCCCTCCTTCTTTCCCTCCCTTCCCCTCACTCTTCATGCACAGATATAACATATACATGCACAGATCAACACACATACACATAAATTAAAATTAAAATAAACCTTAAGAAAACAGAGAATCAGGATTGAGAGTGTGCTTAGCACACTGTAATAATAATTCATTGTAGGACAATTTCCATTTGTTTGTTTTAAAACTGATATTTAGGATTTCAGCATTGTGCCCATGATTCTGAATGTTCACCATGTTCTTTTTTTTAAAAGCATTTTTCTTTCACCTGCCTGAGGTTGAGACAAGGAGACAGAAGGAAAAAAATGCCAATGAGCCAGGCAGTGTTGCTGTATGCCTTTAATCCCAGCATTTGGGAGGCAGAGGCAGGCAGAGCTCTGGGTTTGAGGCCAGCAGACAGAATTGTTACACAGAGAAACCCTGTTTGACAAAAAAGGAAACTCTTTCCCCTTCCCTATAAAGTCTGCATACTAGCAGTTAGGACACCCTGGCTCTCTTTGGAGGTTTTGTGTTCGAGAAGAAGAGCAAAAGAACACATCTTGTCTCCTGTGCCCTGAATTCACGAATTTCTTAAAAGTACAAAGTTCTGGACTACTGACCATGTCCAGTTTTACCCTATGAGGTTTATATTGCCTGACAAGATAAGCTAGGTGTGTATGTGTGTGTGATTTCTGTAACACATGGAAAACATCAGTGTCTTCATGTGTGTATATAGGGTGGAATGTAAGTCTGTGTTTAAGATGTGATACAGGACAGACCACACTCCAACTGAAGCTTGTACATGCTTGTCATTTACTCATCATCTGTAAGAATATACATTCTCTATTATTGTTTGAGAATTTTATGTGACCTGTCCTTCTAGATATTCTTCCAAATGAAATCCTGTCTACTCAGTACTGACCTGAAGAAGAAAGAGCTGCTTATAACCTCAGCCATCTTGACTGAAAGGCTATCCTTTATAACGAAGACCATGGAGACCTCGATGGGTCAGGTGTATGCTGGATACCGCAGGCACAGGAGGGCTGAAACCACAATGTTCTCATATGTGGAAGGAGAAAAGTTTTCTTTCGTAGAAGGTAGAAGCCAGAGGGTCAGGGACATCACAAGAAACCCACAGAATAAATTAACCTGGGCTTATAGGGGTTCACAGAGCCTACCCTGACAACCAGGGAGCATACATGGGACTGACCTAGGCTCTCTGCAATGTATGTTACAGTTGTGTAGCTTGGTCCTCTTGTGGGACTAACAGTGGGAACAGGGGCTGTCTTTGACTCCTTTACTGGTTTTTGGGACCCTACTCCTCATATTGGGATGTTAGTACATGGAAAAGTACTTAGTCTTACCGCAACTTGATAGGCCATGTTTTATTGATACTCATGGGAGGCTTGCCCTTTCCTGGATGAAGATGGAGAAGGAGGGGATTGGGGAGTGAGAACAGAGGGGGTGGGATGGGGGAGGGACTGGGAGGAGAGGAGGGAGGGGAAATTGTGACTGGGATGTAAAATAAATAAATTTATTAAAAAGAAGGTAAGAATCAAACACTGGTCACTAGAGGCTTGGCAATGAGGAGTTCATCAAAATTAGGTAGGATGATAAGTACCAAATATAGTTGGAGAGGAGGTCTAAGTTTTTTTTTAAATTTCATTTATTTATTTAAAAGAGCCATCTCTCCAGCCCCGAGGTCTAAGTTTTAAAGTGTCTTAAAATCATCTACTACAGCAACAACAACTACTACTACATATGTTCCTGATGCGCTTATTTGTGTGCATGTGCCACCATGTGAATGTCAGAAAAGAAATTTGTGTAGTCAGTTCTCTCCTTCTATCTTTATATGGGTTCAAAGGACTCAACTCAGATAGTTAGGCTACAGGTTAGCTATATAAGAAACTTTGTGTCTGAGCCATCTCTCTCTATCCCAAGCAACGCTATTTCACAGTACATTTCAAGTGCCTGCAGTTCAGAAGATGTTATGATGAGTTATGTAGTAAAGCAGGAGAGATGATCTGGAGGATAAGAAGGATCACTTGCTAAAGGATTACCTTGGCTTCATGATCAAAGCCATTCTGGCTTTGTATTTATTTAATTTATTTAACTTTACTTTATGTACATTGGTGTGAAGGTGTCAGATCCCCTAGGAATTGAACCTGGGTCCTCTGGAAGAGTAGTTAGTGCTCTTAACCACTGAGCCATCTCTCCAGCCGCCATTCTGGCTTTGTGATGAGATTCTGAGTAAAGACTGAAAAGAGGTAGGAATAACACACAGACATGGTACTGGAGAAGTAGCAAGACAGAGCTACATCCAGATTTGAAGGCAGCAGGAAAAGAGAGCCACCGCTCCTGGCTTGGGCTTTTGAAGCCCTAGAGCCTGCCCTAAGTGACACACTTCCTCCAACAAAATTATACCTACTCCAAGAAGGCCACATCTCCAAATCCTTCCTAAAAAGTTCCACCAACTCAGGACCAAATGTTCACATATATGAGCTCATGGAGACTGTCCCCATTCAACCCACCACATTCTACTCCCTGACCCTTACAGGATTCTACTCCCTGACCCTTACAGGTTTGTGCTCATACCATAATGCAAAATTTCTTTAATCCAATTTCAAAAGTTTCCATAGACTTTCATGAGGAAATACTGAACCAATGCAAGATCTGTAGTTACAGATAGTTGTGAGATACCCTACATGAATGCTGGAAACTGAACTAGAGTCATCTGGGAGAGCAGTCAGTGTTCTCAACTCCTCTTGAGGGATCTCTTCATCCTCTCAAACTTTTATTGAAACAAGAAATTATACATGTTCCTGGGAAGATGCTTAAACATCAATCCATGTACATGCATTATTAGGTGTGTCCTTATGATTATTTCCTATGAGATATTGTGTGGTTATGATGCCAATCTGATAAAAAACTCTAGGATACAGACTTCTGGTCCATGAGTGTTTTATTTTGTGTGTGTGTGTGGTTTGATCTGATGCAAAGTGGGTGAGATCAAAGGTAGAGAAATCTCTCTGATGGTTTTCAGTGGTTAAGAAAGGGAATATGGTGTGCTGAAGAGAAGTTGATTTACTAGGCTGAGTGAATTGTAGGGCTGTCACTGGGCTAATTTATAAAGTATTGGCGAGAAAAGAGCTGGGATCTCCAAACCTGCTATCACTCTATCAGCTCACTCTATCACTCAACTGAAGGAAAATGGGATGTTTCAATATGTACCAACCCGGGGCTCCCCAAAATGAAGTCAGAAAAATTTCAGTGGGTGGACACTGAGATCATGGTGAGGGTGCCTTTATATCAGAGGAGATATGAAATTAATCATTAAGACAGAGAGTACTTGGCCTTATCACTGATTGAAAAAAACCTCAAAGCATCTAACAGGTTTTGAAGTTTGTGAGGTGAGCAGGAGTACTGTACTGTTTTCCTCAGAAATAGCAGCACAGGAGGCTGTCAGATGGACAATTGCTGTAGTTTCTGGACCCAACAGGGAATCACCCAGGAAGTGGTTAGCTCAAAGAATAGGTCTGAGGGTCACTGAGGTCACAGAAAAGGCATGAGTACTTCGGTTACTCATGGATTTTCCACCTGCCTGGGTTTAATTTGTTCAGGGTGTCTCTCATAGAGAACCTACCTCTGGTGTGAAGGGATCAGGCAGTATTTTCCAGAAAGAGATCAAGTGCCCTAATCCATCTGCCCTTTGAGAATTAATTAACCAACCAGTGCCCATGGATGGTTCGGGAAAGTGGGTTGGACAAATGAGACAAGTACTTGCCCAGGGTGCCATGGCAGGAAGTATTTCACAAACAAGGCATGTTCCTTGAATGCCCCATCTAAAGTGGCAAATTTGCTCTCCCTGGCGCTGACTACTCCAGGCTCTGCTGGCCTGCTGAAGTGCGAGTTTCTATGCATGCTCAGTCCCCCCCTCCCATGTCCACTCTGCTGTGTAGGAGCTTCTTTAGAGAGACGGCTGATGTGCTTAAGCTTACAGTCTCAAGTCCTCCCCAGTCGGTTTTTCCTTAAGAAGTCTATCCTGGGATCTCTCTGTAATAACTTTACAACATTTAAGTACTTTATAAAATAACTATTAAAATTAAAAATCACTTCTGTATGTGATTTTTTTTCCTCAAGGAAGAATCCAGAAGAGTGTCTCATTCTTTTGAAACGAGGTTACTTGTGATTGTGAGCTATTCCAAAAGAGTGTTGGGAACCCAACTCATGACCTCTGCAAAAGCAGTATGGGTTCTTAATCACTGAGCTATCTCTCTAACCCTGCTTTATTGTTTTCAGAAATTAACTTTTAAGTTAGAATCCCAATTGTTTCTTCACTGCATCTTCTTACACATGTTTCATTCCGAGCTCCCACTTGTTCTCTTTCCCTTTTATAGCTCTGCAGCCTCCACCTTAGTTCCATTTCCCCTACTTAGTTCCCCTTTCCAGTTGCCTATTATACGTAGTCAATTACTTTCTCTATTCTACACCTGCTTTAAGCTGTCTTCCTGTCCTTTAATATCCACTTTCACATAGGTTTGGTGACCTAGATGGATGGATGGATATAGATAGATAGATATGTGCATGCATGCATATGTACACAGCTCTAACTGATATATAAGATAAATTTAGGTTTAACATATGAAAGGAAACATTCAGTATTTCTCTTTCTCACTCTGACATTGAACACAGGAATAGACACATGATAGCAATGAACTGATGTTGGCTGTTGCTCACTTTAACCATAAACCTGGTACAAATAGCTACTGTGCATTTATTCTGTAGCTACTGGTTTTATGCTTGCAGAGAGTCTTTATCTTTTCCTTTAAATGCTGGCAGTAAGTTCCAGAAGTGCTGTTCTATAGCTCTCTTCTGTATCATTGAGGAGTACCACAAGTTCTTTACAGAAAATCTTAACATTAACTTTCCTGGAACGTGTGATTTCGGGGAAAGGATGTGTTAAAAATTCTATTTATTTTGCAGGTGAGGGACATTTGAAATGCTTCTAGCTTTAGACTTTTATGAACAAGCTGTGCTGCAATTTTTTTGATACAGGTGCTGCTAAGTACATTTCTTCCCTTCACTTTGGGCAATGATGTAAGAATGGAGTAGATTGATCAAACTACAAAAGGCTTGTACATTTTCCTTATTTATTTTCCATTTTGTTCTTTTTGGTTTGAGACAGACAATATATAGCCCAGACTGCTTTAGAACTCCCCATGTAGACCAGGCTGGTCTTATCTTGCAGTGGCTCCTCCTGTTGCCTGCTGAGTGCTTGGACTACAGGTGTGTACCACCATACCAGACCCTTTCACAGTTTCTTTCTATTTGTCTTATTTTTAATTTAAAAATGCTTTTGAGACAGGGTCTCTCTATGAAGCTCTGGCTAATCTGCAACTCACTATGTAGATCAGGCTGACCCAAGACTCACAGGACTCTACCTGCCTGTCTCCCTAAAGCAGAAATTATAGGTGTGGGCCACCAAACTTGGCCTTTTTCAAAATTTTTTCAGACAGGGTACTCCAGTTCTACCCAGACCAATCTTGAACTCATATCCGCACTGTCACTGTGTGCACATGTGTATATGCACATGTGTATATGCACATGTGTGTGTGTGTGTGCACGCGCGTGCGTGTGCGAGGGGGGGGGAGAAATGTATGTTCTTCTGAATGTATAGATGAGAGACTGACTTTGGGTGTCTTTCTCTATTGCTCTCCCCATTATGTTTAGAGGCAGTCTCTCAAGTCTCAAGTCTCTCAAGTCTCTCATTGGATCTTGCACTCACATACTGGCTGGCCTGGAAGTAGAGAGTTTTGGGGATCAGCCTGTTTCTAACAACCCCCTGCTATATGCTAGGATTAAGATTTGTGCAATCACAGCAGTTATTTTTTTCATGTGTTTCTTGGAAATCCAAGCAGAGGTCCTCATGCTTGAAAAGAAATCATTTTCCTAACTGAACCCAAATGGCCTTCCTATTACCTTCAAAGCACCTGAGACTAGACTCACAGCCTGACATTCTGTTTCTGTCTCAACAATTAAAAGT